TCTCATCTTCCAGCTCCCCAGATACTCCGCGTACTAAAGTTGTACTACAACTTCGCCAGTTCTCATCTTCCAGCTCCCCAGATACTCCGCGTACTAAAGTTGTACTACAAAGTCGCCAGTTCTCAGCTTCCAGCTCCACAGATTGCTCCGCGCACTAGAGTTGCACTACAAAGTCCACAGTCCCGCAGAGGGTTGCGCCGGACAGACACAAATCGCACTCTCGCCTGCACTTCGCGCATTCGACACGCACGATCTCCGCAGAGGGTTGTCCCGGACCGGGTCCAATCGTACTCTCGCCTGCATTTCGCGCACTCGACACGCACGATCTCCGCAGAGGGTTGTCCCGGAACGGGTCAAATCGCACTCTCGCCTGCATTTCGCGCACTCGACGCGCGCGATCCCCGCAGAGTTGTCCCGGACCGGGTCAAATCGCACTCTCGCCTGCATTTCGCGCACTCGACATGCACGACCCCCGCAGAGGGTTGCCCGCGACCGGGACAAATCGCAGTCTCGCCTGCATTTCGCGCACTCGACACGCTCGATCTCCGCAGACGGTTGCCCGCGACCGGGCCAAATCGCACTCTCGCCATCTCTCGCCTGCATTTCGTGCGCTGGACACGCACGATCTCCGCAGAGGGTTGCGTTTCGTGGTGCTCCGGCGGCACTGCCCCCGGCCTTAAGAGAGAAAGTTAAGAAGAGCGAGAGGTGAAGATGTGAGATGTAGATGAGAGGTAAAGATGTGAGATGTAGATGTGAGGATGTGAAGATGAGCAGAGATGTAGATGTGCAAATGTGAACATGAGCAGAGATGTAGATGTGTGAAGATGAAGATGAGCTGAGATGTAGATGTGAGGATGTGAAGATGAGCTGAGATGTAGATGTGCAGATGTGAAGATGAGCAGAGATATAGGTGAGAATGTGATTGTGCAGAGGTGAAGATGTGAAGATGTAGATGAGGTGTAGTTCTGCAGATGTTTTTTGTTTTTTACGAAGAACCCTTCACAGGCGCTCTCGGGAATATCTAAATTTAAGCACGGATTTCAGCCGAGACCTATTTGAATCCGGGCCCTTCAACTGGAAAAGGTTCTTGAAGGTCCAAGCCCCTGCTAGGGAGCGCCCGTTCTCTGCGATAGATAGGGGTTCCAATGATTCTGCAGGTGCCAGATAAGTTCGATGAGTTGACTTTGCCTCTACCTACCACCAGCGACCTGCAGTATACCTAGACCTGCAGCAAACTGTATGTTTTCTAGGCTCTTTGATTTTGGTTGGTGAACAGACTTCGTAAAATCACGCAAATTTTAAAGTAGTTCTTCACCTCTTTCGACCTCATCCTGTTCATTGTCAATCCTGGTTGGAGGGCTTTCCAAACAGCAGGATTTTTCATTGAGGAACCATATTCCAAGAACCCAAGGTAGCTTAAACGTACCAACGGGTACCAAAAGACGTGGTTCTTTAGGGCCAGTCGGGCCGCTCTATGTGAATTAGGAGGTGCAGGGGGCAACAAACCTAAGACTTATCCTATTACCTGTAACAGTAACAGTGGATGATGATGGTTAGTAAAGGCCTTGTTCAAAAATTGATGATAGTTGTTTACTGACTGTTGCAGTGTTACGGTATAATGGGACAGACCCAACCTAAGACAGACCTGGCTGGGCCATGCCAAGCGTCCAACATGTTAACACTTCAAGCATGAAGTTGACTGAATTTGTTCACACCCCGTGTTTTGGGCCCCTTTGGCCGTTGTCTTTTGGGCTTTTGGCCGCTGTTTTGCTCAAGTCTTGCGTCGTGGCGTTTTCAGCTCGTCCGGCTTCGAACACCAACATAAAAAAGCTTGCGAAGCATAGGCGTGAGGCGTGCACGTGTGGACGGCCAAGCCAACCAGAAGGCAGTTGTTCTTCTCGTGTGCCACGGGGCCTTATTCCCTTTGCATCAAATTGGAAAGGCCGGTTGACCAACTCCAACACAAAACGCATCTCCTGGCAGCATTCTTTTCTTGGATCGAAGCATTATGACCCCGCTGGAAGAGGTACCCGATGGTACGCGAGCTCCTCAAAAGCGACTTGCTCCTCCTCCTCATCATCTTGCACTGTCAAAGCTAAGAACTATCAATTTGTCGAAAGTGCGCACAGTTGGCAGCTTCTCCTCGGCACGCAGAAGCATCATCGCCGTGTCCCTGCACCTCATGGTCCCTGCACCTGCCGGTCAATTCGCAGTTCAATAAAGACAGTGGTTGGGACGGCTCTGGCACCCACCTTTCTTCGAGTTTTCATCTCCTTTGCACGTCCCTCTTCCGACCACCGCCACCTGCCCAGCTGCACCCCAGCCACGCCGCGGACAACTCGCCTGCCGTCACCAAGGCGAAGTGACCTCGGGGCTGAGTCTATGCTTGAAACAGGGTGAATAATTCCCATCATTGGCACCTTCCCCTCTGTCTGTGGGGAACTCAAACCAAGATATTACCATTACAGTAATTCTTATATGTCCCCCCTCGTGGGCCATGTGGTTGAAAAGGCCGGTGCCCTCGTCCAGTTCCCTTGCGGGGTCCCACAACTTGTGTTGGTGGACATAGGCAGCTGGCTGTAGGGAAAGTGATGGCGCCTGCCACCCCCTTTGAAGTACGACAGCAATCTCCTCACGGTACACTCGGACCCAACAAAATCAAAAAACGGGGGTGGGATCCGTGGTACTACACCTGGGAACCATGCCATTTTTACCTGTTTGGTGGGCGAAGCAGGCATGCTTCATGACCACAAACATCTCGAGGGAGATGTTTCCAATCAGAATAACATCAATCAACCCAACTCCCTCGAGACTGGGATCACTGACTCCCTCAGTTTCCTTCGAACATCTTCAAACTAGAGGTTGATAAGTGGTTTTAACATCCTTGTCCACCTCTTCCTGTTCAGTTGGGCCCACCAAACATCCAATCCCCCCAAAAGCTCGGCAGGTGATCCACTTCTTCTGGGGGTGATCCACTGGCTGGTCTGACCGACTGGGAACCTCCGCACCGGCACCGTCCGGCACCGTTCGGTCCGACGCTCGTGCGAGGTTCCGGGCGTCGGCTGCGCAGAGCCTTCAGCAAGCTATTCCACCTGGGCTCGACGCGGACGCACTCCGCGGCCAACTCGACTGGACGGCGCGAGAACCGCCTGACGGCGCTCACCGACGACGCGAGGAGCAAATCTTCGGCCGAGAAAGCTGCGGAGGTTTTCTTTTTCTTTCTTTCGCACGCTTCTGACGTCCGGGCGCCCGGGCAGGAGGCGGCCGAAATGCTCGTGGGACATTTGCACTGTGAGCAAGTGGTAGAAAAGACCCACCTGACGAAGTGCGACATGGAAGAAAGTGCTCTTGCTTTTGGCCCGAGGACGGACAAGGGACAGTGACGTGTTTGGAATTGTTGGACTGGCCACCCTCAAAAGACATTGATTTGGTGACAAAACATCAACCTATCAAATATATAGTATATACTTTGGGTCTATCCTTATACCTGTAACAGTGGATGATGATGGTTGGTAAAGGCCTTGTCCAAAAATGATGATAATTGTTTACTGACGGGTAATAGGACGGACAGACCCTATCTATACTGTATTTCAATCAAAAGACCGTGCACCAGGAGTCACAAAGGGGTGCCTATTGGAGGATAGGGGTGCCCATTTTCGACTCACTTAGTGACAAAAAACCACCCCTTTGTGACTCCTGGTATATACACTTTGATGAACATGACAAACACATCACATGGTTACCTGCATGGCATGGACCCCTTGTAAGACTACTCTCCTCCACAAACACGTGGTGGCATCCACTTCCATGTGATGTGTTAGGCAGAGCGTGATCGAAACAAACGGATAGCATTTTACTCTTGCCCTTCATAGGAAGAGAGTTTCAGTGGAAGTGTTCCTAAGAAGGTCAGTACCTAAGTCCAAACATGAAAACGCATGAAGAAAAAACCGCTCTCACTGAGGGAATCGTGTCTGATCTTTGGGAGGCAAAACGAAAAAAAAAAAAAACAACTGCTGGCGGCAATCAACAAACGAATCACAAACACTATGAGAAGAATCATGTATGATCTATACTACCCGGATTTGCTTGAAGAACTGGGAACAAATACTACATACTTCCTCTTTGATGGGATTTACCCATACGGAAAATAGCTCACCATTAAGCAAACCATGACAAAGTGAAGCCTAGCAACTGTGAAGTTGTCTTGCATCCATTGCAGGCAGTGCTTCACGATATCCTCGATGCAGTACTTGTCCGCAATGTGCATCAGCGCCTGCGTGCTATGACCGCCATAACCGAACAGAAAGGTGCCACACAAAAGCAAGCAGTATGAATACCCAAGTCAATTATACAAAGGATCAGCAATGGACGGATTCCTGCACACCTAGCTTTTTCTGGGTGTATCAGCTGCATTGTCTCATTGTTGTTACATGTTGTTACCCTAAGAATCCGCGCCCGAACCGGAAGGGTGGCAGCTTCGAGATCGGACCTGCTGTACGATTTCTGCTGAGGGCCCAAGGATTTCTTAGGGTACACAGTTAACTTCTTCCACCGTTCAAAATAACCGGTGATCAGACAAGAGACAATCGCTTTAATTGCGCTTGGGATGAGATGTTGGGCAAAGGGAAGGGCGTTGGTCGCCGTCTTCCACGACGTTTGGTCCCTCGCTCACAGAGCAACTTCCACGGCTTTGTCCTGGCGAGGGACGTCCAAAGTTCATGACACCTGGGGCGTGCATGCAACCGTGCTTGAAGAGAATCTTCGCCTCTTGGGGGTTTTCCCTGAACAGGGGATGCTCTGATATATGCTCCAAACATATTCAAGAAATGCTGGCTGTGGTGCAGCATAGTGCAGCCCTTATCCTCCAAGACTATCAATTAATCAAAGAAAAAAACCAACTGAGCGGGCTGAACTTGAAGCCCTACTTGCACTCCATCTCACAGTCGATCCCCACCCTTCACCCAACCTGTCCTGTTCGAGCAAGCAACAAAACCACCAACTCACCGTGAGCTCGGCCCTCCACGGTGGAAACCGCGTGAACTCTGCGCATTGTTTTTTCTGCGTTTGGCGACCAGATCATGTGCGGCTCGTTTCGCGAGCCAGCCCGTGAGCCTTCACGTTGCCCTGATCCACATGACAGGTGTTCAGGTAAACGAAGCGGATCATCTCCAGAAACACCTCATCTGACAGGGCCACGACCACGAGGAAGACTTGGTTGAACCGGCCGGTTGCGCTCGCCTTTTCTGCTGGGTGGCATAGAGATGCATAGAGGACATACTCAGATATATTGCCTATATACTTGGTGGATCTTGAGTGGTGGAACGTTTCAACCTTCCCCATCCTGTGAGACTGAATGACTTCTAATCACCCCCCCAAAGAAGAAGGGGGGCATAACAAGGTTGTTCCGAGGGGAATCATGTCTGTGAGGCCTTGCCGTATGAGGCCTTGACACAAGAAGACCTCCGACTAGTGCCACCAACTTCAAGACCTTGATCTATAGTTCTAGACTTGAGTGCTTCGATTGAGGAATGGAGAAAAAACACATCAACTGCATGTAGAAGAGATGTTTGGTGGCCATTCTATAGGCACATTGATTAGAACTGATTGGATAAAGGAGTGGAGGATGTGGATGGCACATTCATGCTTAGATCAGTTTCCCACCCAACAGGCCTGGCTTCTTCAACAGGTTTGCACTGTGAGGATAAGAATCAAGAAACTTCCTCCGATTCTGGCGGCTCCCCAACCAGTCGATTGACATTTCATTCTTCTGAAGGCGAGCAATCCCCTACCCTGTCGAATTAGTATCTCTCTCTCTCTCTCTCTCTCTTTGGCTTTGTATCTCTGGGATCCTAATGTATGGTGACATTGGCCAGCTGTGAACAGCTCGAGAGCTGTGAACGTTGGAGATTGCAGTCACATATCTTTTTTAAGAGTTGGCCCATGAATAGAACAATGGAATTGAACACACATAGAATATTGCACCATATTACAAAACCATAATTGACTCTAATATAGGGTTTGTAGGGTATTGGATTCGCTTAATGCATGGTCACTGTTGGACTGTTGGTTAACTCTTCTGGAGTCGAACTTCCGATGGTTCGCTCGCCTCTGGCTCGTCATCGACCGTGACCTGTCGCTGTCAGTGCAGGGCCGGCTGGGCAGTTGACTCGCGAAGCTGACAATACTCTCCCAAACACTCCATGGGACTGCCATAAGACTCCCGATCAAATCGGGTGGTGCCAGGGGGTCAATGGGGCGGCATAGATGGCAGTCCCATAGAGTGTCTGGGTCTGAGAAATACTGAAAACGTTTGACACACACACACATCACATACCTCGAAGCAAACAACGAGTCGTCCTTGTTGTACTCTCATCTACATCATTGACAACAATGATATGAGGTCATACGAACCCTCTTCAGAAAGATCTCACCCCAAAGAAAGAAGGTTTGTACCCTCCCAAACCTCACCTCGAGCCTTGAGTAGTTGGTGAAGTGGAACAGGCGAACCTCTCATTACTGAGTAGGCACTGAGTAGCGGTTCAACAAAAACCTCAAAACTCAAAACATACAAAGCTCCGTAGCTGGCACTGGAACCATCAGACTCAGCTCGTTTTTGCTCATCCTTTCCAAGGCAAAAGAGACTTGCTCATGGACTCATCCCTGAAGTCGAAACAACCAAAGGGCCTGGCCAACATCTATTCTCTCCAGTCAAAGCATGTTCACTTTCAAATGTGGAATGCTCCAGGAATACTGACCCGAAGAGGCTTCCAACACGGTGTGTGCTTTCTTTATGATCCACCACCCCCTATCCTTTTTGTCCTTTTGTATCCTTTTGTGACACTCCACCAAAAGGGAAGCGACACAAAGAAGCTGCCCTAATTCTCCCAGAGCTGTTTGCAGTCTGCCAGGCTGTAGTTTCGTCGCGTTGTCTCAACAATGGTCTGGAGGCAACCCGAAGAGGAAATTCCTTTGCTTGGGTGCTACCAAATATAGTCTAGAGCCACAGTGACCCCTCCAACAGCCAACCCCTTTTGACCGCTAGTCGCCCTCTATTTGAATCGAAGCCAGGGGCCGTGGATGTGACATGGGGCACCGAATAACCTCCGTTCCTCCGTTGCCGGCACCGGCACCAGCCCCTCCTCTGTGACATCCGGCACCGACGTCAGACCGATTGAGGTCCAGGTCAAGCGTGTCACCGGTCCGAAGGGCTGAACTCACTCACCAAATCCAGTTCAGGTAGACGACTGACGACTAGACGACCGATCGACTGTATAGTAAACATGAATCAACAGTTCAATTAAATCATTAATAGTTTTCATCATGAAAGCCTCCGCAACTGGAGATTCTACAACATGGCAAAACCATTCTGGATCCACTCGCAGCATCTCCCAGCTGTTTACTCCGCAGCATCTCCTCTCCTCTCCCTCATCGACCCACGTCCTGTGGGCGCCTCCCAGGGCTTCTCCGACACGGGCACACCGGTCACCGCCACGGTGCGCGGGGAGTTCATGGGGCTCTTCATCGGCTCCGCCTCCGTTCAGAGCACCGACGGTGAGACGGGGTCCAGGGAGTTGATGAACAAAAACCAATCAATGAGGGAGAGATCAAGAGAGAGATCAGGAGGAAGGTCGTGATAGTCATGGTGTTTTTGAATTGGGAATATCTAATAAAATTCATAGTAATTCCATATATTAGCTCGATCTACTTTTGCACATGAATTTGGGGATTCCAATTGAATCTCATACGGTGGGACTCTCCTGGCACCGTAAGCTAGGCAACACACCGTCAGACGTGGCCATTCACGTAGACCCTGGGACTCCAGTCGACCAAAAAAGGTTGCCATGTTTCCCCCAGGGCTCCAGTCGTAGCTGATTTGGTCCAATCAGCAAGTTTGGTCCAGTGGATACCAACTTTCCCAGTGATATGCCCCAGGGCTACAGTCTTACCTCCAAAGAAGGTATGACTGGATCCAACAATGGCACCCGGATTCGCAGTCCCACCTTCTCAGAGGGTACGACTGGAGCCCTTTTTTCGGTTCAAGCTACCGTTGACGTGCCAATGTTTGGTCTGACGACCGGTGATCTGACATACGACCGGTGGTCAGCACGACCGGTGATCAGCGCCCCTGCCAAAGTGGTATCGGGTCTTTCCCTTCAACAAAATCCAACAAAACACGGAACTGGAACATGGCCAAGAGTCAGGAAGACTGTTGTCCTCTACGAACAAGCGGTGCCAGCCACTTCCATGATAGTTGGAAGGAGGGTACCTCTACCTGCACCACCACTATTATGTCTCCCAAACCCACCACTTGGGAGACATAGAGCTGGTAGACCATAGCTAGACCATTGATGGCATGTATTTCCCCGTCCCCAACCCAGCCATGAAGCCGTGAAGTCGGGGTGGCTTTAGTCCAATCCAGTGGATGTTCTGAGCCTTATCCTCCAATAATAGGCACCCCGAGCTCTGCGACTCCTGGAATTGGTTTTCTCCAGTTCATCTGTTGCTGGTTGCCCGTTGCACCCGGACATCTGCCAAAATCTGCCTGATGTAGACTCTTGATTAGTAATACCCTCACATGAAGAGGACGTTTAATATATCCATTCATGTCTGGTTTATATCCAAATGGAAATGGACCATGCCTGGATGAGCCTCCATCCCAGTGACAGGCCTCGCTCTGTCCACGAGCGGAGGAGGTCTCCGCACTGCCCTGGCCGCCGCGGCGTGGATCGGCGTGGATCGGCGTGTGTGGCGCGTGTGTGGCGTGTGTGGCGTGGGTCCGGGTGCCATGGCCCACACCCGACTCGAAAGGAACGTCAGAAGTTCCCTCAAGTTCCTTCATGCCATGAATTCACCCGATAAGTCACCAAATTCTCACGAGAAGGAGCACAGACTTCCACCTCCAAATATCAAACATCCAGCTGCAAGGAGGCTGGGATTTGATACGATTTGATTCTGTGCCTGCTCTGTCAATGCTTCGTGTCAAGGTTGCTTTGTTTGGGACCCAACATGAGGAAGCGCGTGCTGGTGGGGTTCTTGCCATCATGCACTGGCAGCTTCTAGATTTCACCACTGGAGAACGCCTCCAAAAAAGATCCCATCGAACGCGCTTGAGGACAAAAGTTGAGGAACTTCGAAAGGAGTAGAATTGGGGAACAACAGAACTTACTGTAGATTGTGGGCCCATGTGAAGCGTGTACCATCAAACTTCAGCGCGACGGGCGCTACCCCCGCTCCTTCAGAGCCCACTGCCGGCATCAGCGAACCCCTCTATTTACAACTAACAGAACAGAAACCACTGAATATGCAGGTGAGACCATGCAGGTGAAAGAAGAATATATATATATATACATGCTATATTCACATCTGTGCCGTGTGTCACTGGTGACATCTGCTGACTTTTTCTTGCTTTTTGGGTGCAGGATTCCATAGGTACCCAAACATATACCCAGACCGTGTCATGCATAGCGAAACGCATTGCCCACTGGATGACCTCTTTTCAACCACTCCCAATGACATTGTGCCACACAGGTCATGTCTGGGCAGAATGGATGGTCGGGTACTGTAGTAGATGGTGGTTTCAGAGTAGATCGCATACATAGACCCTTTCAGATGTCTTTGATATGGAGGTCCATATAAGATTGGGCCATCTACTCTGAAGCCACTGCCTTAGGATTCCAGCGACCGTTGATTTAATGGTCTTTATTTAAAAAAAAATGTTTTACTAAGGATGTTACAAGTCAACCATTGATTTTAATAGTCTTTAAAGGCTGGGGACTGTACGCTCTGACTCCAACAAAAACAGAGGCCCTTGGTGCCCCTGGCGGGCCTGGTCCACTTGGACCTGCTCGGCGGGCCCCTCGGTGGGCTCCTCGAAGGCTCTCAACGCCGGCCTCGGCCACACGGAAGAGACCCGTAGGATACCGAGATCTTCCAACTGTGCAAGATGTGTTCATCCACAAAACAGCCAAGTGTCGCAAAGTCGGAAGATCCCTATCCCTCAAACTCCCACTCCAACTGAAGGTGTTTTGGGGTGGCTGGCAGGGGGGGTCTAACAGGAGGATATGGGACAGGAGCATGTTGGCGCCATTCGTCAATGGCAAAACCCCGTCAGAGTCAGTGTGCCTGGTGAGTCAGTGCGCTAAATCCTCACGTCGACGTCGACGTGATTTAGAACCGGCGATGGAACCGGCGGAGAATGTGTCTCACCTGGAACCACTCCATGTATGGTTAGGTAACCGTAGAGCGTCTGGGTCATGCTAACAACAAGTTGATACAAGTTGAGTAGGTTGAAACCTCTGAAGTCTGTGGCTAGTCTCGACTTGGTAGAACAAACATCATTGGAACAGTCTGGTCTCTCCTAGGAGCCTGTCAGCTCTGCAGGCAAGAGCATGTCAAGCTTTTTTTGACCCTGGGTCTGGGATCCAGGAATTCTACGACGAACCGGCCTCCTGCAAAAGTTTATGACTATATATTATATGTCCTCAACTGCCAACTCGCGCATATTATATATATATATGTATGTATGATGTTCAAAAAAGCAGACATATTGAAACATGTAGAATCATAAAAAGAAGAAAACACATTGAAATCGCTTCTCAATGGAAAGTAGCCATGCCGCTGACCATGCTCATGATTCATCTTGGGCAATGGGCAAAACCTCGATGGTCCACCCGACGATGCAAATGTTTTAAATCATGAGGTATCATAAAAGCGCACGAAGATACAAAGGTTGCTACAGGTCTACAAACATCTCACTCACTACACTACTGAGATCCACCCAAGCCCAATATTTATGTTATTTCTCCTGCACTATAGGAGACTAAGCTTCACGGGGTCGAAACATGTGCCCAACAACTTCGCAATTGTTGATCTTTCCTGGTCAGGCGGACTTCACCACTCCCTTCCCATGCAAATGCCCAGGCCCCCCACCACGCCGCGGCCGCAGCGGCTTCCGCGGCGGCGGCCGCCGCCGCTGAGGCCGGTGGCGGCTCGCGGGGCTCCTCCGGGCGTGACGACTCCCGATCAGTTGGAGTGGTTGAAGGTGAATGTAGATTGTCCAATCGCACAGAGTGTCTGGGATAGGTCGTGGGATAAAAGACTACTCCAGCATGTGACCATCCAACCATCCTAGGGTTGTGCTAGCCGCCTAGCTCTACAAGTCCAACTAACAAGCGCACTCCTACTAGAGGCAAATCTTTCACCCCAAAACTGGCAGTGTGCGATTGCGCGGCAACCCATAGAACATGTACAGTATCGATCATTGCTGACACAACTTACTCCTTTAAGTCATGAAGAGTAGGAGTACGAATCCAGGAGCCTGGATGAGTACCACTTTTCAGAACGATCCATATTGACATAAGGGGATTCAACATCAAGATATATATATATATTACAGTACATACTTCTATATATCAAGCAACATCAATCCAGGATGAGCTCTCAAAAGGCTTGGCCACTGTTATAAGTGCCACGATTCATACATCCTTAAAGAAAACACCTCACCCCACGTCACTTCGAGCTCAGATTTCAACCATCTCACTTGGGGAGGATCCGTGGAGCTCTTGCCCCACTGGCCCTGCCCCACTGGCCTAGACTTCGTTCCCAAAATCCTCCCCCGCATGCTCCGCTCAGGCTGCGTGGCGTTCGGGGCTCCGAAACTGGGCGCCCCCAACGCTGGTATTCATGGCTGGCGGGTAGCCCGCGGAGACCGAGGTCATCGGGGTGCCTGGGCGAGTCCGGCGAGTCCGGCGAGTCCGGCGAGTCTGGCGGACGGCGAGGCGCCTCCGGGTGAGGTGCCCGGCGAAAAGCAAATGCAGCTGGTCAGCTGGTGTGGGTTTGGCATCTGACTCATATGACATCACATTGACTATGAGTTGTGGTGGCTGAAGAAAACATGGAGAGGTCATGGTTCAATCATATTCCCACTGGTGGTGCAGGATTTGCTGGGAATGTGCTTCTTTCGGACATCTACTGATCCAAATCTTCACCTGGTGAAAACAGCGGTGTAGCCCGGTGGATTGGGCATATCGATACTATAATACTATATGATTTGGTCCAGCAATCAGCAAGTTTGGTCCCCCTAGGGCTCCAGTTGTACCTCCTCAAAAGGTATTTGGACCCCCACCCTTGACCTTGCGACTCCCCTCGTCTCCAGCACACCGTGCCCTCGTGGGGTGGCCGGTTCGGTCGGTGTTCACCAAATGGCGGCTTTCTGGAACAAAGGTGAGCTCCTGTGTGGTCCACCTTGGCGAGCGTCGCAGGCTCGCGCGAGCACGAGCGAGCCAAGTGATGGGACCATCCATTCGATGTCCCTGAAGCCGACACCTTGAAGACACCATCCAAGGGGTGGCTGGACTATACTGGACTGCACACCTCCAAGAGATCTTGCCAGGAGTCTAAAACGCTTATTTAGTAAAACAATGATTCTTCCAGAATAGACTAAATAGACCGTGAATAGACTAGCGTGGTTGGAGTCTTAGGGATGTCATTGTCATGTAATTACTTTGGACATCATCAAACGCCGCAAAGAAACAACATGACGATGTCGTGAAGACAGCGAGTCGAGTCATCAACACTGGGCGAGTCGAGTAGAATAGGGAGACCCCCTCAAAGACCTTCAGGAAGGAACATCGCTCCAATTCATTGGTTCTTGAATTCCTTCTTCAAAAAGACAACAGCCACCGTGTGAGCCACATATCAACCGTTGCCCTTGATTTCGTCTCCGAGCCCCTGCTCTCCCTGCCTGCACTCTGCTGCCGCAGTCAGCCGCTCCAACAATCTGCGACACGCGACGGGGCGAACTTCCCACGACCGAGTCGACGCGCGGAGAGGGCCCACCCGCACCCAATCCGCCATCGGGGGGCGGGGTTCGGGCGTCGGTGTGTTTTGAGTCTCACCTGCCAGTGGTGCGGGAGTGTGTTCTTGTTTGTTTGTTTTGTTTGTTTTGTTTGTCTGGTTTGTTTGTGTCTTCACGTTTCTTCTTGTTTTCAGGATATGGGCCGCACTATGACAAAAACACCCAAAACAGTGGGGATGCGTTCTTCCATTCTTGTTTTTTCTTGCGGGGGTAGACCCTGGCATGTACTGACTGAAGTAACGAGAAGGATTTTGCCCTTTTGCATGGCGGCGGCCACGCAGGGGAACTTCAATCCCAATTATTTGGATTCACATGTCGGTCTTTGGAGCCAAAGTGCATCATGGATCTTCTGGAAAGCCCTACACCCTGGCGATCCGAACTCCCAACATGAGTGTGTAATGTATGAAATAGGGCGACTAATAGGGCGATATACACCCCGGCGCTGGCTGGGTATGCAGACTGGTCTATGTTCCGTACCGAACCCAGGAGGTAGACTGGTCATCAAGGGGTCCCTGCCTGGGAGGTCTCCCTATTTCAATACCTCACCCAACATGTTCCTTCACTGGACTCCCCCTGGGACTCCCCCTGGGACTCCCCACACGGGCTGTGTCCGTAGGAGCAAGCTGTGGCAGCGTAAGGATTGGCCCTCAGCGACTCCAGGCCGGGTGCGACTTAGGAAGGACATGCCATGTTCATCTGGGTTTCTTCCTTCCATAAATAAATGGACGTCCAAGTCACCCGAAACCTATACCTCAGGATCAAACCATCCGAACATTCCTTACTTTTTTTGGCATCAGTTTGGACGACCCGGACAACACCCGAACACGTCTCCGGACGGACCTGACGGTTGACATTGGGACACGAATTGACCACCCGATGTCCATTGGAGAGTCTGCGTTCTTGGTTTCTTCAATAAAATAAGCCAAGTTGGGCCTGTCATGGGGGTTGGCAACGTGATGATTGCACGATGCTTCTCTATCCATTATACCTTGCAAGAACTACATTCTCAGAAAGGTAGCTTGGCCTCACATATTTCACAGGATGCATACTAAGGGTGCTTTGACCCCTTGGCTTTCTTTTACAGAGACAGCCATGGAACCAAGTGCAGGCTCGATCTAGTTTCCCCCACAAAAGCCAAAGAACACTCTGGTTATCTCGGGTTGGTATTGGATGGTATTGGCTAGATATTTGGTTGATATGGTTAGATTTTGGTTGTAATATATTGCTAGACTCCGAGTCTTCATCTGGAACCCGGGCATTCGCAGCTAAGCTCCCCACGCTGGAATCATTGCCTGAGCAGTGGGGGTGTGGTGACGCGACAGGTCTCAGAGTGCAGAGTGCACCGTCCCAAGTGCTCGCCTCACGTTCGCTCCCTTCGCCGTCTTTTGGGGCGACTTCCATAGTGATCCAACGCCGCTGGTTGAATGCCCACCCCAAATCGCCGTCCGAAGTGGGTGGTGCTACCGGATCAGAAGGGGCGCGAGAAAAAAGGTCATGGATCTTTGGTTTGAGAACACTCTCAACATGAGAGTCACCTCCTTTCGAAACTCTTCTTCACCCCTAGCCCGACGCTGGACGACCAGAATCACCGTTCCTGCTACGGTGAAGGCTCCAAAACCCCCTCGAACACTGGTTCCGTCCGAAACCACCAGAAAACTGAGGGTCCAATATGGCCCAATAGGAATGAGTTGCTCCAGTAGGGTTGACCTCTCAGAAGAGCACCACCATCCACCACCGCTCAAACCAAGGACCGCGGCACCGTGTGCCAGTGGGGGGGGGCAGAGAGGAATTTCAACCGATGGATACCGTCATGGATTTGGACCGGGATAGTATGGTGGATGTGCGATGTCAATGATGTCTAAACTTCCCTAAACTCTTCCAAGATGCATCCCCAGGGCGAGGGGTCGTGACAGTCATTTTTGTTGGTAGAAAAAAAGACACGTTATGTTTGACTCTACAAAATTGCACCTCAGAAAAGAGTCTACAAGATGATACCTGAATTGGTTCTTTCTTTGGCTTTCAAGAACTCTTGACCATCAATGGCTCCTTGAAAAAATATATCAATTTCAAACCAGTTATGTTCATGATAGCCCCGCAAAGAACTACCCAGCTATCTGTTGCAGGTGGACTGGACAAGAAACGGGCAGCGCATTGCCGACCCGCCTGTGGCATGTCCCCATCCACTCCGCGTGGTCCTGGCCAGCGCGCGACTAACTCAAGTCACTGACTCCTTCGCTGGAAACTCCACGGAACATCATTGGTTAGGAGACCAATCTCCAACAAACAGGGTTAAGGGTTATCCACTGTTCCTGGGTAGGCAACTCATGCAATGCTGTCGTGACCTGGTAACATGTGCGGTAGTGAACGGCTGCAGGCAGCTGCCAAGCGAAATGAACCGTCACCAAGTAAAAGACAAACTCTGTCAAAAGCTGAGCTGGATCTTCTGGAGATTGAACATCAAATATCAAGACACTCCATGTATAATCATGTATGGAATATTCACCTACTATAAATATTTATTGACCTACATTGATCCTTGAAGTCACTCCGAATCTGGCAGAAAGTCTCTTTTTGGGATACTGACATCATCATGGACGTGGCAAACACCACCACCTGCTGGGTCTTCGGATGTCATGTTCATCCCAAGCTTCGGGGTCGTTTCCCATCCACTTCCATGAATTGAATGTCCAGGGACTTCATGTTCCCCCAGCGACCGCCCCTTCACGCGCAAACACGCTGCCTGTGAGGTGACACCGGGGAGTGCATCGCGAGGACGGGCCTGCCCGAGTGAGTGCCGCTCCGCCCGTCATACACGCCCGCCCTCGGTCACAACGGCAGTGGCCAGTGGCGTGGGCGCCCCTGGAAAGACCCAGGTTTCCGAGGACGAGAACCACATGGAAGCTGATGTCATGGGACTGCGAGGAAGACGATGTTCCTCTACAACCCGACGTGGTGTTCAGGTTCCATGTGCATCTCTTCCCGGTGTACCAAAGCAGAGGTTTTGAGTTCCATTGGGGGAAGTAGTGATGACTTGAACCCAGTGGGCCGGAAACCACCCACTTCTCCATCCACGTCACGACTGGGCCGCGGCCAAAGACTCCGTATGGCATATCCACATCGACCTCTTCTCAACCATCCCAACTGATTGGTTTGAAGGCATTGGAGGCCCAAATGGCTTCCTTGCGTTCTACACTCGCTTCCTCGCTTCGGGCACTCGACCAGTCGTCCCCGCCTCGGGCTGGTCTGTGCACCGATGGGCCTTGGTGAGCCGGAGCCGGCGGCGGAGCGGCGCAACCGCCTGGACCTGAACCCAGGGGTGTCCTGGTCTGCAAATGCCGGAGAGCTCGCACTGGGAAGGGCTTTCAGCCAGGTGACCCGCTGGCAAACACTCCATGTTTGCCCAGACGCAACCCTGGACCGTGGGTCGGGGGTCTCAAATCCCTAGGGTCCAAGGGCTGTTTGGAGACCCATTGACCCCTGAAAACAACCTCCCAAAGTAGGTAACTATGGCATACATGGAGATCCCCCTTCCAAGTCGCTCTCGAACCCGGGCTGTCCTATTTTTTAGGAACCCAGGCTTGAGGGTAGACAGAGGTAACATTAGGTAACTAAAAAATCAAAAACGCTGGAGCCACAAAGCCTAAAGAATCAACGGAAAACATGCTTCTTTAAAGAATAGACACTGACCTTTAAACATATCAAAAATCTAAAGAATCAGTGCACCCGGATTCGAGTCGAATTGGCCAACCCCCGCCACCTACCCACCTGTAAAGAATTCCAACCCTCAGGTTCCTGGTGGTCCATTGCACCCTGTTTCTCTCATTCTTTAAGACAACCCGGGTTGTCCTATTTTTTAGAGGAAATTTGCACAGGGATACATGGAGCATCATTATGTCATTCTGCAAAGATATTTTCTCCAGTGACTGAAGCATGTGGAGATCCAACTTAATCTGGGCTTGACTTGATGACATGTTCAATGAAGTCACGTGTCCAACTCAGATCTTTAGAAAACAAAGGCTGAAACCCATGAAATCGCCATGCACCTGCTCTCCCCTAAGCTCTAAGAGCTTTTGGGGTGATGTATCACCCTCTCTTCAGATTCACTCTCATCATCTCACATCCATTCACTTGACCATTGGACCCATCCCATCCTCTCGTCATTCTCCGTTTTCTTCTCTGAGTCCCCACGAGGTCCCATGGTAGTGGGCATTGGAGGGTGATGCCTCGGTCCCGGCGAGTGAGCAGGTCAGGTCCGACCGGTTGTGCCTGGTGGATCTGGTTCAGTTGGTTCGTATACAAGTCACTGGGTGACCCGTGACATCCCGTGACTCCAAATGTCCTGGCCTACTGGGATTTGACAGAACAACCGAACTCCTCACAGGGTAGGGAAAACAGACCTCTTTTCTGAGCCATCTGGGGATAAGTCCAATTCACTGAGCGAACCTCCCAGTCCACCATGTAGCGCACTTCACCTCCCAGGTAGGTCTACCGGTCGGTCTGGTTTGGAACCCATAGGCCATAGGTCGATCTCACGTGCATCTCCGAAGTTCGAACCCCCCGATTGAAGGAGCTGGGCCCCAAACAACCACCCTCTCAACTGACTGGACTCGACTCGTTTGAAGCAATGGACCGAGTCCAAGTCAGGTCCAAGCTCCTTGGAGACGTCCAACGTTCGGAGGTGAGTAGCTAGTCTCCGAGTCATTCGCATGGAAGTGGAGTTCACCACCTGACTCACCACCTGTTATGGTCTTCCTTTCGAGGTCACCCAGTATTTTACGCACCTGATCACCGGCGTAGTCCGACGCTCCGACCCGTCGTTGCACCAGTGGAACGTTCCCGGGTCCCGGTCGAAAGACCCCATGGAAGAAGGACAAATAGAGGATCGAACCGGTTGGGAGGTCCCCCCTAGAATACCAAACCACCTGGACCTTCAAGGGGTGTCGAATGGAGGTCCCTTAGTAGTGGGCTGGGGCTTCCAGCCAGGTGACCCCAAACTGAAGGTGCTGGCATGTGAGTTTTCAGTGAGGTAGTCTTTGGACTTCGGCAGGCCAAATACAAAGCTCCGTCCGTCCGTCAGCACGCGCTTTTGGCCACTCGCACAAGTAGGCGTCCATCACAGCCAGGATGGCGGAACCGCTTCGGAGCCCTTTTGGGCATTCAGGATTGGAAGCTGATCGTGGAACGTCCTAAGGGTGTTGCTTCAGGTTGTTGCAAACAAAATCATAGCTACAAAGAAAATGTTGGGCTAAGTGGAACTGGTTCACCATTTCTACCAGATCCAGGTCTTCCATGGTCTTCCTGTCCTATTTAGGCAGCCAAAACATGCCAAAACCAAGAGCCCTTTTCCAGTCAGGTTCCCAGGTCGGTCAACCGGTCTTTTGGTTTTTCACCGGCCATGGTGGTCTCTGCTTCTCGCAGCTTCCGTCATGAACCCGCAGACAATGCAGCACTCAGCGGATCGTCCAGCAAGGAGCAGCCTCGGCTCGGCTGCTCAGCCACCATCGCCGCCCGCGATGGGCGCGGAAGATGGAGTGCTCAGGGAATCTGTTTGGACCAGAACTGAACCTGGACCTGAACCCAGGGGTGTCCTGTCTGCAAATCCCGGATAGTAGTTAGTACAGGGGCTTCCAGCCAGGTGACTTTGAAGGTGCGTTGTCCCAACAACTAAGATACCTGGACCATGCCAGGGGTGTCCTGACCGCACCCGGCACTGCTTAGGGATCTCCCGGTGGTGATTCATAGGACAGTGATTGATTGGATTTTTTATTGGTATTTCGTGTACCTTTAAAGCACATGTTGCTTTCGACCAAGAACGCATAATTTTGTATCGATTGCCTTTCCTGTTGGACCTGATGGAAGGTCCAGTTATGCCAACCGGTAACAATGTCATCCTATCAACAACTGACAAAGTATAAATTATAATCCTTCACCACTGAAGGTGTATCCTAGGAATAGCAGCTGTGTCGCATGTGTCACCCTGTAAGCAAACAGAAGTTGCATAAAGGATCACCAATGCGCAGCGATGTTGGCTTCTTCATGTCCACATCTTCTGTCCAGTCACCAACGGGGTGCAAGTTGGGAGTCGTTGATAATTAATTAATAACCCAACATTTGGATTGAGCAACCTCTTCATATTGGGGCTTTATTCATCAAGGTCTACAATACATCCACTCTTGCTATGTCAACAGCTGTAGGGGAATGGAACACAAAACGACTGTCCTTCTTGGGGCCAATGTGGTCATCGGAACCCTTCGGTGAACACTTTTCACGAAGCCTTCCGATGTCAACGGAAAAGGGTGATCCACTCGGGTCACTTTGCCCTTCCGTTCAACCTCTGATCACGACTCTGGGTACCCCCTGGGTTTGGCCCTCCGTCTCCCCATCTCACTAGTTCTTCATCTATTCTCAACAGGTATCGAGTCGTCAGAATTGATACACATCAGCCATGGCCATGAGACACATGGCGCAAAGCCAAGTCACTCTGAATATAGTCCACCTAGGAAACACGCAGTACCGCTTCGAATGCCGACAGAAGGCAAACCCGGTGTACTCATGTTTTCAAAAAGCTTCCGGACTAAAAGAACCCTGGATGAATAGTGTAGAGGCCAAATATATTCAAATTGGACTCTCCTCAACGTTCGGCATGGTTATGGCTTGGAAATTGTCCCGACGTATCTATATACTTCGAGCAACATCGAATTCGAAAAAGCACCTCAACCCTTAACTCACCATCATCATGGAATGATACGTTGGAAGACGTACTATGAACCTTGGGTTTGTGGGTCGTTCCCCAAGCATGCATGTCAGGAAGATTGCAGCAGCTATATAGTACGAGTAGCATCCTTCTAAAAAAGGGGCAAAACCGATCACTTTGTGAACTCTCAAGTGCGACACGAACTGAAAGCACGGTGAATTCTTGGTTCTGAGGTTCTTAGATCGTTGGTTGGTGAATATGGTTCGTTTGCTGAGGTCAAACGTGATCATTCAAACCAACCCATTCGGGTCACCGTCACCCGTTCGGGTCACCGGTCACCGTCACCGTCCGTCTTCGGACGGACTCTCGGAACCCAAGACCTGCGTCAGATCGGTCAAGGACAAGTCGGCCCTGAAAAACATCACCCAAACCATCGGGCCTATAGGTTTGACTCATACATGTCATCATAACTTTCATGGTTCTTCTACGAAAACCATCACCAAAGCCAGAACTATAGGACTAGAATCTAGAACCGGACTTTACTTATAAGTTCCATTAAGTTCCTATAATGGTACTTGACTCAGGTCTCTTCATGAGCCAGTGGTGAAGCCAGTGGTGAACTGGGGGTCCGTGGAAAGATTGGCAAAGGATGGCTGTCGTGTGTCCATCTCTAGATTTGCTGGAGCATCCAGATGATCCTGATGTCTATCTTGGAACTGCTCTCTTTAGGTACAGTATCTCATCCCAAGCGCAAGCTGCAGCCTCTTTCAGACATGTCTCCCAAAACGTTTTGATCTCCAGACCAGCCCAACTCGCGGATCCTGAACCGTTGGATCCTTTTTGATCGAAGCCACTCTTGGGAAGAACTCTTGCAAATAGCCGTTGCCTCTCTTCAGCAGCTCCTCCTCCTCAATCGCATCCTGGTAGCCGGTGAAGAACTGGTCCAGCACTGGAAAGTCCTCCTCCAAGACATGACCTGATGGGATGGAAGAACTGGTCCAGCACGGTGAGGACGGTCGGTGAGGAGGACGGTGGGACATAAGAACGAGGTGGTGGGACAAACAGGTGCGACAAAACGGCCGGTTGCAGAAGAGCCCAGGTTTCTGTGCATCGCATAGATCTTCCAACTAGGCAACATGTCCGCGTGTTCATCTATACAGCCAGCCAAGTTCGGCAAACATTTTGCATAGGAGGTATAGAGATACCAAGAAAACCCGCTCTGAAACACCCAATGATTCCCAAACATCCCGAAGACATTGGGTCAGTGGATGGTGGTCCTGTTCTCGGCCTTGGCCCTGAGCTCCACGCCTTGAGCCCCAAATCGATTGATCTCTGGAACACAGTAGTCGGGTCTAATGTACGGGTTAACCGGATGAGTTAACTGGACATTGACATACAATCTCTCGGGGTCATGTCTCATCATTTATCTACCAGCACTCTCCAACAGTGCCTGCCACTTTCAACTCGACTTGTCGGAGGGTGCTGGTAGATGAACTTTATAATGATCAAATCATAGCGAATCTATATCACCACTGTTCACCGTCCACCCGTCCACCGGGGCGGTTGACCCCGGGTCAAATGAAGAGATCCCTTTTTAGGACGAGGATGTCAACCTAGATCAACCTTGCATGGATGGGTGAGACTTTGTTTGACTCACAGCCACATGGATAAGCTCAACCAGGCCTTTTGTTTGATGGATAACCCCACACAGGTGTCCGACGTGTTGTTTGGCCGCTTGGTCGGCCCCCTGTGAACGGCAGACGTCGGCCATTTGCTCGCCAAGTCCTGGCTTCTGGTTTTAGTAGTTTGGGTGAAGAGGAGTGTTTTGTGAAGCTTGTGTTCCAGTCTGACTCCCGGTGTTTGTGTTTGGAAGTCCATTCATTTCAGACTCTCAGTCGGGTTATAAGAACATATTAGAACCGAGTTCAACGGGAAGATTCTGAGGACATACAGTTCAAGATGGGAACGTGTCAAAGCACTTGGTCCTGTCTGTGTGAAACCCTCCACTCTTCTTTCATCGGACTCTCCACGCCAAAGTGGAACTTCCTGTGACTCCAAGCAGTTAATAGGTCTCAACTCGAGTCTCGACCCCCGCAAATCGGCTTCAGAGCCGCTGATTCGGACTCGACGGGTCGACGTCGACCCGCCGCAGCAGGAGCCACGTCTCGACACCAGGACGGGCCCCACGTCTCGCGGGTCCAAAGGGATGCTTCGTCCAGAATGCGGGGGGGGTGGTCAATCAGTTGAGCTCAGTTCAGGTGTAGGAATTCAATGCAATTAAAGTGTTTTAAGAGATTCCCCTGCAAAAAGGACCTACATGTGGAATCATTCGGATGGTTTGGTTTTTGTTTTTTCATGAATATAGGGTGATATGTGGCTATATATGGGCCATATGATACTTGGGTGGCAACTCTTCCAATACCCCAGCTGCCAGTCGACTGGCCCAGCGGCCAATCGGCGTCTCCCAAGGATTGTGTCCCAGTCTTCCTGTGAGGTCGGACAAGGAAATCATCACCTGCCCGTCGAGGATGACCGGGATGACCGGAGCAACCTGTTTCAGACCAGATCCTTCAGATGAGCTGGTCTCCAAGACCCGGTTCCAAGGGCTCCCCTCGGCAGAAAACCATCCCAGACCATGGGCCTATTGACCTACATTGGGATGGCTGACCTGGCCATGGCAGGCCACGGGGTCAATGTATAATGCATGTATATGCATCATCTGGGAGATTCGTGTTTTTTTTTCAGGGTCCAACAGGGCTGTGGGTGTTCTTTTCCAGCTGATTTTTTGAACTCCAAGTGTATTGTCCGATTTGGAAGCTCTCGGGACAGTGTGACCAAAGGTACCCTCCCATCTGGTCTTGTATGGACATATCCCAAGAAGAAGAAGAAGAAGAAGAAGAACGACGACTTGTTTCACCATCGAAGTAGAGGTACTTCCTGAAATCGGGTCACCCAATCAGAGCAATTCCGAAAATGGTCGACTGGACTGCTAGTGCATTTTCTTTCTCCCTCTTAGCAAGCCTTGGGACGTTCGACCCACGACGTGGATTGATGCTCACTTTTCAAATGATTTGCCTAAGGAAAAACCGTGGTTTGACCGCCACAAAACTGTGGGTTTCTTGCAGCTTGTTCCTTATAAGCCAATTCTGGGAATGTTTTTCTACCACAAAGGTAGGGATGGAGGCTGGATCCTTTCACCTCGCCCAGGAGGGCTCACTCGCCCCAATCCGGGCTCCCTTCCCTCTTTTCTCTACGAAACACATCGGAGCAGCACCAGTCTGAAACTCAATATCTGAGCACCTGCAGAACATTCTCACTATCTTGAAAAGCTGTCCAGGAACCAGGAAGAAACGCCTTCCCCATGCCAGGGGATTCAATCACCCACAGGAACAAGTCCAAAGTACTAGCCAAATATCCATAGATCTCCTATCCTCACACCCACGCCTCACACGGTGGTTTTTCACTGTGCCATCCCGGTGCCTGCGTGGTCCGTGCGTCTGGGCCTTTCGCCACGAAGCTCAGCGTGCCCTTGGGGAACTTCAGCGTGTCCCGCGCGGAGCGCACGTCGTCGCGGATGCTCGGAGACCACTTCTCGTTGAGATCGCTCTTGGAGCCTCAGCGATGGATGGGACCGACCGAAGGGGACCGACCGGAGGAGTGATTGTGGCCACCCGCCGGGATTGTAAAATACCATGTAAAACCTCTTCATCATGTTCTTGTTTTTAAAATCAAGAAATCGAGATAAATCGAGTCTACATTACACAGATTTTTTTTACCCCATGAACCTGACCCATCCATTGTAAGATTAGTTCTTCCAGTCCCTTGGACGGTCGGCCCAGACGAGCTATACGGATCAGGTGAGCGCCCATCGCCAAGGATGGACCCGCCCAAACCCGTCTGAATTCCGTAATGTAATGTAGACTCTATGGAGACTCTGTAATGAATTTAATTGATATATATCAGAGGGGCTTGCAAAAATGACTCTCACTTTTTTTTGACTCTCAGTTTTCTTGTTTCTGATGCTAATGATATTGATACTAAAGAAGAGGGGGAGGAAAAAGATGAAGA